TAACTCAGTGAAAGCTCCCTCTTATATGTGATTATCTACCCCCCATAGGTGGTCCAGGAATGCTATCTATAAACACACCCATGCCCCCTAATTTCCGGTCAATTAGACCTTCCCATTGTTAACCCAAAAATTATCATGCGAAGTCTGGAAAACCCGAACATACTATTATCTAAAGAAACAATCTCCCACTATATCAAGATGTGAGAGTCTATTAACCTTAACTTAACCCCATTAACAGCAGTTTCCTTCCATCCTATACGTTACCTTAACAACAATGGAGCTCTGTCCTATACCCCCGCCCCAGTCATTTGTGACACGCACACCTTTTGCAAATATCGAAAAATGACGCAAAAAACTGTTGTGGCCATTTTACATTCAGCATGTGGATGACTTCGTTGTTTCGCGTCACAGTTTTCTAATAATACAACATCTTAATCCATTATGGGAAAATGTTAAAGAATAAAATAAAATCTTAGTTTAGTTATGAAAATTGTATGTGTGTTTTGAATGTTTTATGTGTGACCATGGGCGCCCGCAGAAAACTTTCTAGGGGGGGGGGGGGCAAAATTTTTTTAGTAATGTTTTAATATAGTTTTAATTTACTGTAGCATATTTGTATGGTGAACGAACGGACAGGACATCAGCTTAGTTACTTTCTCTTTATTTTTTCTTTATTTTAATACATTTTTTGTCTATTTTTGTCTAAACATTTTTTATCCAATCAATCCAGGGGGGGGGGGGCAAGTGCCCCACCTTGTCACTACCTGCGGGCGCCCATGTGTGTGACGCGATAATAGTGGTGGGTGTTAAAGAATTTTCGACTCTTTCAATTACTTTGTGACATTGGGGAGGAGGGGTCTAAAAAGGTCAATTTTTGCGTGACGTAATTTGCGAACGACCCCTTAAAGCACTTGTAGGCTTTTAATCACAGCAGGGTTAAATGAAACCAACATTTGTGTTTAGATATCTATCCGTTGCACAATAAATCGATATCAAAAGGGTCGAACTGATAACCGACGTTTTCCAAACAGCTTGCCAGTGTAGATATTTTTAGGAGGTCGTAAAAAAAGTAGGCCGCCAAGATGTACAGCGGC